CTTGCCGGGGCCACCGGCCGAGAAGGAACCGCCGCCGCCGAGGAGGGTTTGGAGGGTGGCGAGCGCGTAGATGTCCGGCGAGGAGATGGGAGGTGCTTCGAAGGCGAGGTGGATGTGGCTGAGGGGGATGTTGAGGGTGTTTGTGGGGTGCGGGAGTGGAGGGAGGGCGAGGAATCCGCCGGTGTAATGGGATGGTTGGGTTAGGTCGAGGCTTGAGGGCTGGAGGAGGGAGGGGCTGATGGGCGAGACGATGGCGTGTTTGGAGGCGGAGGTGGAAAGGTTCTTGAAAAGCGGGAGTTTGGAGAGAATCTTGGAGGACGAGCTGGTTGAGGATGAGGAGGAGGGTGGAGGGGTGTACATGGACGAAGCGATGGATGATGAGGTGGTGGACGCGGTGGACGTAGTGAATGTAGTGGACGAGCTATCGGAGAAGTCTGTGGAAGATGCGGATGAGAGGCTTGCAGAATCACTTCTTGATGAATATGGTCCTTCGCCTTGCCTCATATCACCAAAATACTGCTCCGTGAGCCGCACGGCCTCGTCATGCTGAACACCGGCAAATGCAACCACCATCCTTTCCGGCTTGTAAAACGTATCTCTATACTTCTCGATCAAGCCTTTGGAGATATAAGGCAATCGTTCCTTCGGACAGAGCAATGGATTGCCCAGGGTGTTGTCCTTGTATGCGGCCATGTGAACCAGCTCTCCAATAATCAGTTCCGGCTTTGACCAGATCTCTTGTATTTCATATGCAGCAGTCTCTAGCTGCTGCTGAACCTCGCCATTGGTGATTGCCGGATCTCGAATCGTCTCGGCAAGTAGCCCAACGGTCGTCGGCACTGCTGAGTTGAAGGTTGCAGATTGGTACATCAACGTTTCTCTGGATGAGTGACATTGTATGTTTCCCCCGAGTGTCTCTAAGGATTCCAACATCTGATCCGCCGTTTTTTGCTTGGTCGACTTGAAAGCAAGTCGATCGATGATATGGCTGATTCCGCGCAGACTTTCATTCTCATACCGTGAGCCTGCATCGAGATATACTCCCACTCCAGAGAAGGGTCCAGGCAGAGATTCGGTCGCGACTCGGAGTCCATTTGGGAGCTTTGTGATGTGGTCGAGCTCGACAGGATCCTGTTTTCGGGGTTAGCATACATGTCTTCGCATGCGTATGTGATCATCCTCTGGCTTGCCTTCTGGGCTCGATCTCTCACTGTTGCAAAGTGTCGAGTGGAGGCTGTGGAGAGCCGGGGCGCTGTCTTTGCGATGTCAAGCGCCTTTGCGGCTGAGGAGCGCATACTGCAGAAGATATCCAGGCACACTGTATGCTAACTGCAGCAGCGATGCCAGTGGAAGAATCATTTACACCAGAGGCTGCACAAGAGGCTACACAAGAGGCTGTCCAGTGTCCAAGCAGCCATGGGAAATTTGAGCGACGCGATGCCGCTTTCGGCAGCTTCCCAGCCCAACGACTGCGCTTGCTTAACTAACTGGCTACGTAACTTACAGACACAAGTCACTGAATGAAGGCCCAAAGGCCCGAGGCCCTCAGCCTCCTGATCCTGCTCACAGCTTCAACTCAATGCCCGACAAAAGCCACAACAACGGCATCGGCACAGGCAGAGTGCAAGGCATAAACATCGTGATACTGATACTGATACTGATACAGCCATCGCCACCCCAGGGAAGAGGCTCCCAGTGTACGCTACTGCAAGAACTCAGCTGGCTGGTTGAAGGGAGAAGGGCAGGCTATGACACACTAGTCAGCCTCTACACTCCTTCCCAGTCCACCGGCGCACCGATCGCCGACCCAGGCCCCATATCGCATCTTGTGCCAGACTGAGAGATTGTCCGCTCAAAGCCCGGTTCATTGCATTGAGCGAAGTCCATGAAACACGCATATCGCTTTTTTTTGAGCTGAGATCATTTGACATCCGCTAATTGACGATTTGCTGTACTGCAGACTGAAAGAGACTCTTATCCTATCCCCGTGCTGAATTCGTATGACCGGCGATCTGCCGCAAGTGGAGAGCGAACCGTGAACCCTCAGGCTGCATTTGAAGAGAAGGCACAGAAGGCACAAAAGGCATCTTGCTCCTGCCCACTCCTATACCCACCTCATACTATTCATACTCACCCCAGAGACGACCACATATAATACCGGTCAATGACTGCGACCTCCCTTTCCAATCCTACTGCCGCCTCCACGAGTGCTGAGAGAACCAATACGCCTTCTCCAACCCCTCGCCGTCGTGGGCTCAGCAGTCTGCGCAGATTAGGCCCTCCTTCTCCTGGTGAATCCTCAAGGCTATCACCAAGAAACTATTTTTCTCGTTCTGTCAGCTACCCACAAAACCCGCCTAATACTCCTCGAGCCACTCCGGCGAAGAGCACGCTTCGTTCGAATGCACCTCAACCTCCAGGTGCCACTGACCCGGCGAGCCGAGAACTAGTATCACGAGAAATTACTGATCATCCGACATCAAATACGGCCAACTCAACTACTTCGCCTCTCGCCTCCCCACCGGGTGCTGAACCGCCAGACATGGCTCGACATAGGCCCCCTACCAATCCAAGGGCAACAACTTCAGAATCAGTACACAGTGTTGAAGCACAAAGATCTACGAGAGTTGGAGGGGACACAAGTGACGGCATTGGAAATGTTAGCAATGCTCAGACGAACGATGCTACCCAAGAAGCCTCTGATGAAAAGACAAGACAACCGACAATTCGCTTCTTTCCTCACCAAGACTTACGGCAGGGCCGGCCATCATTATCATTCAACCCAATCATTCGAACGCTTCCGCATGAGTCTTCCATCATCCGTGTCGGACGATATTCGGAGCGGGAAGGCATTCCCATATCGACTCCCACTGGACCATCAGATGCCCCAGTGGGCTTCAAGTCCAAGGTGGTCAGTCGTAAGCATTGCGAGTTCAGCTTCTCCAACGGCAGCTGGCAGATCAAGGATGTAAGCAGTTCCTCGGGCACTTTTTTGAACCATATCAGGCTTAGTCAGCCAAACACCGAGTCGAGGTTATATCCTGTCAAAGACGGTGATATCGTCCAGCTTGGCATTGACTTCCGTGGTGGAGAGGAAATGATATTCAGGTGCGTGAAGATTCGCATTGAATGCAATCGCGCCTGGCAGAAACGTCCGAACAACTTCAAGTAAGTAGTGCTTGGATACCATTATTCCTCTGCTGATCAATACACTTCCCAGTATGAGTCGGCATGCTCAGTTGCAGAAACTTGGAAAAGGAGATGCAAAAGTAGACGAGAACAAAGGTGAATGTTCGATATGTCTGGGAGATGTTGCAGTGAGTCTGTCCTTCCACAAAAACCTGAGCGCGATCTAAATTTTCTATAGCCGTGTCAGTCGTTGTTCATCGCCGCATGTGCCCACGTTTGGCACTACAAATGTATCCGTCGCATGCTTATGGGCAGCAATTACCCACAATTTACGTGTCCCAATTGTCGCGCTATCACTGATCTAGAAGCCGAGTTTGACGTAGAAGACGGAGAAGAATGGGAGCAACCTCCTGAATCACCTGTCCATGTAGAAGATATACCCGCCAGCACGACTCAACCTGCCAACTCACTACAGAATCAACAGGACACTGTCCATGTTGGTGGTGCAGCCGCAGCCTATGACGAAGCGGGTGACGTCGACCTTACCAACATACAGTTCGAAGGCAATGCCGATCAGACGATTGCAACCCCCCAGACCACCATCAATGGGCTCCTGTCACGTCGACAAACATTGAACTCAAGTGCCTCGCCAGCCATCGCGCCTGTCGATGGCATCGAGATACCAAGAGCATCCAATGCTGCACCACTGGGTGTGGTTGTGTCTAACGACACTCCTGCCACGCTGCGTACCGCAACCCCAACCTCAGTTGACCTCATTGGCGGAGAAGGACCATTGACACCTAGAAATGATGCTGGACCATTCGTATTTGATGGGAGTGCTGGTCGGGCCAGTGGTCGTCGCCTTACCGCGTCTGCTACGGACGAGCCTGAATGAGCCATGCCTTGAATATCGCAAGAATCAGAATGAGTAACCACGAAGAGTGGGTAGGAATATCATCAGCCAACGAGGATAACCCTTGCTGAGAATGATAGTCACTGTGACCGACCTGGTCAGACTCTCCTAAGACGCGCAGTCTGCAGCGATTGACGTTTCATGGGGCGATACGACCTGCAGGCTGGCTCTCAAGGTCTCAGCCGTTGTGTGAGAGATAGACTAATGTGAAACAAAATACTGTGTTAGCTTGGCAGTTCTCAATATGACAGGAGTTCCTCGTCTGCCTTGTTTGAATATCTGATGAATGGATGGTTCAATAACTCGGTGGTGAATATAAGCCCCGTTTACAGTTGTTACAAGCCCGGTGTTGCACTAGAGCCTTGAGACCAGCCAGAGTAACCCCAAACAGGAGGAATTCCGCCCATTGGTCCTCCTGTTCTCCACCATTCTCACCAATCCTTACCAATCCTCACCAATCCTCACCAGGCCTCACCAGATCCTGAGGGCGGCTGCACCACGTCTGATCAGTCGATATAAACCCCATTCAGGATCAGTTCAACCCACTGTTAGTTATGGAGTCTAAACGCGCTTTCAACTGCATCCGGCGGGTTCAGGGACAGGCTCAGGGGTGGGTTCAGGGGTCTCTTCTCCAACTCGACCCCAATTCTTTCAGTGTTTGGGGTTTGCAACTCAACGTTCATGACCAATATAATAATCGTCCACAGTTCTGTCCTTCATTTTTCCCAATCTGCCATAGGCTTCTCATTGCAGTACTATTTCTTTGATGCGAGCGGGACTCGCCTTGTCTCTATCCTATCCCAAAGATAGCCAGTGGGTGCCGATTTGCCCTTGCAACCACATAGCACAGAAGAGATCTTTCCTCCTGTACCACAGTCAATTGCGAAGATGAGGTTCGAATCACCCCTCATGAGCCCGGGTCCTCGTACTCCTGTCCCTGGTGCTATCAAACACATACGAACAAAGTCGTATCCCATGAAACACTCCACGAGAACGAAGCCTCGAAGGTCAGCCAATATCAATTACTCCGATTGACTTCCTGAATTGACTCAGATTATAGGTGGCCACTGGTCCTACGATTCATCAAAGGCGCCGTTCATGCCATGATCCTTATCCCAGTACTCCTACATGCAGCTTGGGCCGTTGGCGTCATCTCTATCCATACCTATACTCACAGAGACATCTCGTTACCCTCTACAATCGTGAGAAATCTGACCCTACGCTTTCTGCTGGGGGAGACCCTCGACTGACAATGTTATCAGATCCCCTCGCTTTCCATAGTTGTCGGTCTCATGCTTGTGTTCCGCAATCAAACCTCCTGGAATCGCTTCTGGGATGGCCGTAACAATCTTACCACCATAACAACCAGTGTACGCAATCTGGCCCGCACCTTCCTTACTTGTTCCTACCTCAAAGACCAACACCTCGACTCCCTTGAACAAGCAGACATTGAGCGCACTGTTCGTGTCTTGGTTGCCATTCCTTTTGCCGTGAAAAACCACCTCCGTGGCGAGTGGGGTGCCGCGTTTGCCCCAATGGCAAACAAAGATATCGAGCAGGGCGGAAACTACAACATCACACCCCGGCTGAATCCAGAGTATGAGAACCTGTTACCTGCAGGACTCAAAGGCCATGAGGACGAGGGCTTAGGTCTGCCTTTGCAGTTAACATTCATGATCGAGGCCTTCATCACACGTGGCGGCCACCGAGGCTGGTTCTCTCCACCACAGGCCTCGCTACTGACCACTCAGGTCAACTCGATCGTAGCGGCTTATGGCAACATGGAAACCATTCGCATCACTCCTATGCCAATCGCCCATCTGATCCACCAGAAGCAGGTCCTGGCCCTGTTCTGCTGTGTCTTGCCATTCGCCATGGTGGATGAGATGGGATGGTGGACCGTCTTGATTGTGACTTTGGTGACATTTACACTCTACGGCATTGAAGGAATTGGATGTCAGCTCGAGGATCCCTTCGGACACGACCGGAACGATATCAAGATGGATGCCATCGTTACGGATACTCGGGTTGAAGTCTTCACCCTGCTGGACGAATGGAGGCATACGGTGCGCAGGGGCGAGCAAAGTGGCGTCAAGGGCGAAATGTTCTTCGATGCGGTGATGCCAACTCCCCATGGAACAACTCCTAGGAATTGACATGAGGCGGTGAGTAGGCCAGAGGCGGTCATGATCAAAAGGAGATCTGCGGATCTCATTTGATGGGAGTCGCTACCACTGTTCCGCCTACATTTCGTTCGAGCCACACCACCGATATCTGCTCCCGCATGTCCTTGGTCTTTCCTGGCATGAACACTCAGTCTACTCACCATCTATCACAGGCGTTCTTTGTGTTTGTCCACTTGCGCTTAAACAGAGCGACAAGGCTTGTTTGTCGTTACTTTACTGCCGAGAAAAATGGCTTTCCTCTTCCGTTCAGGCAGCACGCGATTTTGCCGTTCTCGAAGAGGCGTTCCACAGGATGGAGTCCGCTGCAGTCGTTGTTGCAGAGGGAGGGCATCCTGACTCGATGGTGTTCTAGCTGTTCTTCTAGCGTTAGCAAGCGTTGTATCATTTTTAGACTGAGTTCAACGTGGGAAAGGATAGAAGCATGAGACTGCCGGAAGAAGCGAACAAGCTCATGATGCACAAAGCTTGATCGTTGTACGTTATTTGATTTGTTTCTGATAGCAACTGGTGAAGGGATCTCCTCATTCCTCGGAAAGCAGCTGAAGTGGCTAAATTTTGGAGACCGATGTAGCCACCTAAGAATGCCTCTCTGATCTTCCAGCTCGCAGTCGAATTCGTTGGGATGTTCCCGCTTCTCTAAACCTCTTCGCCACAAGTTCGAGCTATATGCTCTGTTCGTCTCCTGTTTGAATGTCCCCTTTGATGCTCTCAGTGATGAGCTGAATTCTTATCCTTAGCTTTGATCTCCTATAAAGCGTCGCAAAGCCTAGGCCAAGCCGACCTCAACCTCTCCTTCCGGCTCTTGCCCGATTGACCGTCGCCCTTCCTCTCGCCAGCCCCACCCCCTTGCCTCTCGTCCCGCGACTCCTGAACATCGGGGCATTCCTCAGCATGTCGGGTACGATGAAGAACCGCACATGGCTGCCACGGATGTAGACCTGGTCGAGGTGAGAGACGCGTCCATCACGGGCGGTGACGGTGATGTCCTTGAGCTGGACATTCATGTTGTCTTCGGCTTCGAGGAGCTTGCCGCGGTAGACTTGGCCGGTTGTTAGCTCGAGGGTTACGACGTGGCCCTGTTGGTTGTTGGTTGGTTAGATGGGCGGTGAGAAGGGAGTGAAGGGTGTGGGAGGGTGGGTTGAGGGGGGCTGGCTTACTTGGGCTTCGTTGAGCAGTTTTATGGGAATACCGATTGTGGAGGTGAGTTTGCCCATGGTGGGCTAGGTGCTGGGGAGGGCAACAGCGCAGTCTGTGCCTCCGAGAGGGTGATGGGAAGTTTCTGTAGGGTGAGGACAGAGGCGATCGGTACTTAGTGAATCATTAGGGTTGTTGTTTTAGAAGACAGAATGGATGGCAGCGCAGTAAAAATGACCACACAAAATAAGCTTTGGACCCTGAAGCACTAGCGCCGAGCTAACTTACTTGTAGGAAGTGCTGCTGGAAGGAATCTTTACTGCATTCTTTTCTCCTTCTATACACCAGATCTGCCCAATTAGCAGCATGTAAAGTACTCCTGCGCCCCTTGTTCGTATTTGCATGGGTGCTGTCTTGCATCTGATCGTCGTCTATCTTCCTGGTTTATCTATCGACGGTCGGGGAGCAGACCAGCATGCCACTCTTCTCCAACCTTCCTGCTGCCCGACTTACGCTGTCGTATCTCCTTCATGATCCCTCATCCGTTCTGCCGCATGCTCAGGTTCCAACCTTCCTGTTTCTCCCATTGCCTCTGTCGGCAGCTCTCCCTTCTAAACCCTCACCACAAGTCCGTGCTCTTGTCTTGGATAAGGACAACACGCTGTGCCCGCCAGAGACAAACATGATGCACCCTACTTACCTGACCAAGTTAGACAAGATCCGCTCATCTCCTGAATTCTCCCACTCTTCGCATAGCATCCTCATTGTCAGTAACACGGCCGGTAGCACGGCATCTGCTGTTCATGAGGCAGAGGCCAAGGCTCTAGAAGCTGAACTTGGCATTCCTGTCTTGCGCCAACATCCGGAACGAAGGAAGCCGTTTTGTGGACCTGATGTTCTCAAGTACTTCTCGGACCATGGTGTGACATCTAATCCTGCAGAGATAGTCGTGGTAGGGGATCGCTTGGGTACTGATGTCGTGATGGCGCGGGAAATGGGTGCTTGGAGCATGTGGGTGCGAGATGGCTTTCGAAATCCAGAGATGCCTGGACGGGACTATCGTGGATCTTTGGCAAAGATGGAGGTTCGGTTCGAGCGGCTTCTCAGGGGTGGACTGGGGAAGAGAGCTCCTTTCCCAAAGGGGTTTCCATCCTAAGCAACTCCTAAGGAACCAGCGGGTGTCTGATATACATCAACTGTGTGATAAGGGCATGAAGAGGCCTTCCTGGGAGCCAAAGCGCCATTTCATTGTTGCAAACTGAAGCTGTAAGGATATCAGTGGTGCACAGAACCTGCAGGGTTGCAATATTGATTAAGAAACTGTCAAACACAAGTTGCTGTGCTGGTCACGTGGTATACCATAAGGGAATGCCTTCACAACACCATCGATCTTCTTTGACACCTGGATCTGAACCATCTCAAAACAACTCAGACACTCTATCTTCAAGTTGCAGCAGATATTCACAAATTCTACTATCGGCAAGCAAGTCACATCTGCGCAATTCTACATCCTCTCATCCGCCTCCAACTTTCAGCAGCACAGAATCGTTGGCGAGATCATCTTTCGTTCGCAGTATGGCCTCATCGTCACCCTTTGTGGCAGGCGCTGGATCTGGCGGAGCTGGTGATATCAGTCCAGATCAAGGCCGTCCAAGTAGTGGTGAGCTGAGTGGTAATTCTGGAGTGTCTATACCTGTTCTACTGCCTTCTAACCCCCCTGAAAGTGCCTGGTACCTCGACTTCCGGAGGAGTGAGTGACGTTCCGGTCACGCCACATGAGCAAGAAGCGCCAGTCAATACAGGAGGTCTACAGGATCAAGCCCCTTCCCAAGGTATGCCAACATCTAATAGCTTTTACTCTTCTCTTCTGACTGAGCTCGTTCATCTAGATGCTACCAACCTAGGAGGACCACAAGCCATCAGCCACACTGCTTCATTGTCTGACCAAGCGGCTTCACAAAGCCAGATCACAAATATTCAGCAAAATAGCATTGTCCCAACTGGTCTGGTGTCTACGTCCGGTTATCGTACCCGATCTTCCACACAGTCTTTGCCAGCCGCAAACACTCGGTATACACCCCTTCCCGCCGCAACAAAGACTGATCCTGCTGTCAAGCGTGGACGTGGACGAGCACAAAATCATCCTTCGCAAGCCGCCCCACAAGCACCACCTCCAAACACTGCTGCTACATCCGGCCAGGCATATCCCACCCTCTCCGCTACAAATACTACAGCGATTCAGGCTCCAGTCCCTCCATCTTCGAGTGCATCCTCGATTACCAGTACTGTTGCTCCCTATCCTCAAGCAGCCCCTCTCCCAGCCTTACCTCCATATGTTCAATCTTCAGCACCGGCCGCCTCAACGCCTGTTCAGGATCCTGTCAGCTCTCAAACGATTACTCAGGTGCAATTGGCTCTACTCAACGAGCTCCTGGCAATATATTACGCTCGTCTTCCGACGTTCTCCACCTTCCCTTCTGGCCAACCATACCCATATCCAGCGCCTCGTGTTGTAATTGGACCCCTGGCCGATCGGTACCCGTACACTAGCTCGCTCGGATCCGACACCATGGGGACCCAACCACAATATCCACCCTACGGCAACCCTCCTTTCCCACTCAACGCCTATCTCGGCCGAGACCTCAACAATGGCCCCGGCTTCCCATCAATGGCAGTCACCGGCGGACCGTCAATGGCCTGCTTCCAGCGCAGTGCGGCTGATGCTCGCGTCGATGTTGGGTTTGGGCCGGGAATTGAGATTGCCGACGAGTTCAAGGCGTTGGCGGAGAGGTATGCGAGGGAGCATAGGAGGGAGATAGTGGAGGGTGACAAGGCTGTTTTGGGAATGGGGCGGATGGAGTAGGTGGCTGGTTTGGGCCGGTTTCTAGATTGGGTAGCTTGGAGTTTTTGTGGTTCTGCAGTGCTCTGTGCTGCCCGGGAGGGCTTCGTAGGAATGAATAGAAAATTTGCATTTTCTACAGAATTCTAAAATCCAAAACTCTGAGGGAAAAATAGTCTTTTTTTATTATTCTGGTGCCCTCCCCGTGAGCACAAGAAGATGCTTCACTTTTATGGTGAATATTTATGCTTTTGGGGCAGAGGGGAACACTGTTTGTTTATTGAGGATTTCATTTCAGAATCATGGAGGCCTCCGTATAAGCGTCAAATGATTTCTATCATTCTGTGGATTCTCTAGTAAAGATCGACGAGGAAGGCCCGAAGGCCCCCTGTTCTTTGCTCTACTAGGATGCGGCGAGAAATAGTACATCAAGTAGCTCCCACACGGATATTTAAATTAAGTTAGCGGACCTTCAAATCGAAAATTCAACCCATATCAAATTGATTAAAATTCAAATCGGGCATTCCAGCACTTCGGATCAACCTAGGCCAAATGACTCATTAGCTGAGATGCCGCAGCGTAGCAATTGAATAATCCTGCCAAATAAAATAACACAACTACCTTCAAAACTGTTATTTCTGCTCTTATATGGACCTGCTGTTATCACCGTCGAACACCAGCTAGGCCCCAAGTTGTGGAAAATCATCAAAAAGATGTCGTTGAATTTGCATCTACGCTCAGAACGTAAAGTCTTCCTCTGTTTGACAATACACAGTCACTGATGCTCCTCTAGTTGGGAAACTGCTTGAACATAGGTTAGCAAATTCTTTCAAAGACAGTCCGAGGTCTTCCAATACCAATGCAGGACTGTTGAGGGTGCAGTGCTACCTGTCACTGCATCCAAGACGTTGTCTCATTTCCTTCAATTAGCAGTTGTTGACACTGCGGACAGATCCGCTCTGACTCCCTCAACCACAAAAGCTCTCATTGATGCCGGCTACAAAATCAATGTTGAGCGGAGTCCTCAAAGAATCTTCGATGACATGGAATACGAGGAAGTGGGAGCCACATTAGTACCAGAGAACACTTGGCGTGATGCCCCTGAGGACAACATCATCATTGGTCTCAAGGAGCTGCCAGTCGAGACGTGTGAGTTAATTGAATGTATAAGAATTCTCTAGATGACAGCTGACGTCTCGATAGTCCCTCTTAAGCACGTACATGTCCAATTCGCCCACTGTTACAAGCAACAAGCAGGATGGGAAAAGGTTCTTGCTAGATTTGCTCGCGGAAACGGAGTTCTTCTAGACCTCGAATTTCTGACCGACTCGAACGGAAGGAGAGTGGCAGTATGATATATCTCCTCTTTCAGATGTTCTGCGTGGATACTAAGTTTGAAATCTTGAAGGCATTTGGGTATCACGCTGGGTTCGCTGGGTATGTCACCTTTATACCTTCTTTCTGCTGTCTAAAGTGCAGTTCTATGTGGAACTGCACCTGGGACAGCGTATCAGTACTTGACAAACTTCTAAAGGAGTACTCGCTGATTATTTGGATTGAACAGGGCAGCCTTGGCAATCGAGAACTGGTAAAATCCCCATGGACTCTCAAAATTTCCTTTTCTGGCTTGCTAGGAGTGTCCAGAGACTGCCTACGGTGTATTGCAGCACTGAAACAGTGCCCCAGCACCCCAAAGCTTCTCAAATAGATAAACTGACCCAGAGCGTCATAGGGCATGGCAAATCAACCACAAGGACCAGCCACTTCCCTCTGTGTCATCGTATCCCAACGAGGACGACTTGATCGCCGACGTTAAAAAGGCTATCGCACAAGGAACCGAGAAGACCGGCAAGGCACCAAAAGTGCTTATTATTGGAGCGTTAGGACGTTGTGGTAGTGGTGCAGTTGACCTTTGCTCGAGAGCTGGTGTCCCAACTGAGAACATCCTTAGATGGGATATGGCGGAGACAGGTAATAAACCACAAGTTAGAATCAAATACGACTGAAATAGCTAACCAGCACTACAGCTAAGGGTGGCCCCTTTCCAGAGATCGTCGAGAGCGACATCTTCATCAACTGCATATACCTCACTTCCAAGATCCCCAACTTCGTCGATCTACCATCGCTCGACACGCCGAATCGCAAGCTGTCCGTCGTCTGCGACGTCTCCGCAGACACGACAAACCCAAACAACCCGATCCCCATCTACACGGTCGCAACCACATTCGACAAGCCCACCGTCCCAGTCGAGGTCAAGGGCGAGCCACCACTGAGCGTGATCAGCATTGACCATCTGCCGAGCTTGCTGCCCAGAGAGGCCAGTGAGGCCTTCAGCAACGACCTACTGCCGCATCTGTTGCGGCTCAAGGATTGGAGGAGCGATCCCGTCTGGGCGCGCGCCGAGAAGCTGTTCCGGGAAAAGGTTTCCACTTTGCCAGAGAGCGAGTTGTGAATCAGGATTACTGAAATAAGAATCAGACGGAGTCTTAGTTAGTCAAGGGCCTGAAGACACTGGTATTGTCAAGCCGTATGAGCGCCTCTGGGCCAGTTGTCTTGCATTGAATCCCTGCTAAATATCTTCCTGCATTCATTTTGGTCAATTTCTAGTGCAATTCCGGTGCAAGATTCGCTATCCGTACATATTGCTACGTATGCTGCTCAATAGATAATAATACAACTTGCTTTCTACGCGCCCTCTGCAAAAGTTCAGACATAGTATTTAGCTTACTCGCAACCTGTCTGCTGTAATTGGGGTGGCAGTAAGTAGGACAAAGTGTCAGAGGTTTCCGGTAACACCTATCTATGGTCCTCTGGTCTCAAAGCAAGTCCCCGGCACACCGGGGTTGGATAGCTACGAATATACAAGGAAAACCCAAAGATTAGCCATCTGGAGTGGGTGATTTAGCTGAATTTCGGACCGACTTCTTTTCGAAACTGCTGCCGCAGGCGAGACCCGTCACGGGGAGGTGAGAGCGGACACAGAGAATTCATGGCCATGATGATGCTTCCTTCAAGATCAACCCTACAGCGAATCACGGGTTGCTTGACTCGTTCGGAGGCTTGCTGGTCGCTACTTCACGGGGAAAGCGCTGTTGTAGTAAATGAAGCGTGCGGCAATACAGTATTTAGATTACTCAGCGGGGGTGGATACTTCACCTTCCTTCCGCCTTAGTTGGACGCAAGTCAGGCTCTATCGACATGTTCCTAAACAAGGTAAATGGTATATATTTTGGGTTATAGGCAAGACATATCGCACCACATGTAAATAGCCAAGACTGCGGGGCATTACCAGCCCTAACTTACTGCGTAGTTGTACCTGAGGTGAGGAGCCCTTCCGTTGTGATGATGGTAATTTCTGCGCAAATAAAAATAGAAATGAATATCATTACGACTAGCACAACTGGTATGTATACCACTGACATTATTATCAACAGATAAGGAAAAATGCTTGCGTGCTTTTTCTGTGAAAAAAAATTGTAATGATCTCCCGAACCGCGAATCGAACGCGGAGCTGCTCGGTCCATTTTGTGTTTGAGAGCGAGCGATGTTAACCGTTACACCATTCGGGATATGTTGTAACGGTTAAACATCGCTGGTTAATATATACATATAATAAAAACGTATGATGTTAGCAAAAACGTACGATGTTAGCTGAAACGTACGATGTTAGCAAAAGCGTACGATGTTAGCAAAAACGTACGATGTTAGTAAAAACGGATGATGTTAGTAAAATGTTAGAATCCCAGGAGAGAACAAAGGCAATAGAACAGTAGGAGGTTGATGGAATGACTTATCAGGCGCAAGGAACTAGAATCAATCTAAAAGAGGGAGATCTAAGTACCAAATGCTACTCAAAGCTCTTTGATGCGCAGAAAGACGTAGAACCTTCTTGACAGCTGCCACACAAAGAATCTGCCACACAAGAAAGCTGCTGGATGAGGGAATGATGCAGAATCCATGAGAGTCCTTCTGGCCCTCATACTGTGCGCTTGGCGGTTATAACAGCATGCCTTCTCCATGGCCTTTCGCTCTCGAAAGGCCCTTGATTCTGTGGATTGTGTGCAAATGCTGCGTGCGAATGCTGCGTACAAATGTGTAGAGACTCTGTACGAATTCTGCGTGGACGCTGCGGAGGATTCTGCGGAGGATTCTGTAGAGGTTCTGTGTGAATTTGGTATAGAATTCTGCAGAGGATTCTGTGTAGATCTTTGATAGATTCTGTGCTGGATTCTGTGCTGGATTCTGTGCTGGGTTCTGTGCTGGGTTCTGTGTGGATTTTGTGCAGATCCTCTATGAATTCTGTAATGGGTTCTGTGCTGGATTCTGTGCTGGATTCTGTGGTAGATTCTGCGTGAATTTCGCAGAGGATTTCGCAGAGGAGTTCAAAGAGGATTCTGTAGAAATTCTGCATGGTCTCTGTGGGTTCTGGATTCCGGATTCTGTGGACTAGGACTCTGTTCTATCGGGCTTGCACTGAGATGGCGCTCAAAATGTTAGGATCCCAGGGGAGTGCAAGGGCAATAGTACAGTAGGAGGTCAATGGAATGACTTATTGAGGGAAAAGAACTAGAATTCATCTAGAAAAGAGAGAGATCTAAATATCAAGTGCCACTTAAAGCCCTTTGTACGCGTAGAATAACGTAGAACCTTCTTGACAGCTGCCACAAGAGGAAGCTGCCGCATAAAGAAGCTGCTGGATGAGGGAATGATGTAGAATCCATCAGTCCTCCTGGCCCTCATAACGTGCACCATGCTTGGCGTTCATAACAAATGTATAATGTTAGCAAAATGTATGATGTTGCCGGCAATGTGTCAAATTGAATTATTGTGGAACGTTGCTGACTAATCGACGGATTAGTGTGGAAATAGCAAGTTGTTCTATGTAAATGAGTGCGAAGAGCACGTATTTATACGTACAGATGCTGCGTAGCGTGAAATGCAGATACCAAAAATACATGCGGATCTCATGCGAAACGCGTATCAGATCTGTAACAAAACGTATATGAAACGCATGGTCAAACGGCGCTCAAACAGTTCAACAATTATATATTCTAAAAAGATAACTGGATCACTTACTCCCAATTTCTTGTCTTGATCGAAAGATCAAATCCTACTTACCACTTAGCTTATATCACAATGATATGTTTCTACCAGATCTTGACGCTCAAAATTAGCTCTAATCGATATCCCGAATTTTCAATAGTCACCATGTGCCATTCAAGCGCGGATTGAAATCAAGACTTGTTACTTTGCCTGATTATGAGTTGTCAAACTATATGAGCGCCTATTGCGCCAGGTTTGGTGCGTTTATCCCTGCAAGTTTCCCGCGTTTGATTGGCCAATCTCTACTGCAATCTCACAACTAACTTCGCTGCTCCTCAATGGACAATACAACTTACTTCTACGCATTCTATCCCCCTCAATCACTGAACGTGGTACTTTTACTTATTGGGAATAGTCTACAGTATTAGCGAACTAATTCTGCTGCAGTCTTGGCAAGAGAAACATCAAAGTTCATATGCTTCTAAACACTTTTCCGACTGCATCACTCTATTTATTAGGTCGCTTACTATGAAACTAGCCCATGCAATAAATCTCAAGATGCTGATTATTTCTACATCCTGAAATTTCTAGAAGTCTTGTTATTTGATAGAGGAAATCTAATATAGAAATTGTATTCAGAGTATTTTGGTGTTCCTTATGCCAAGGCTGCAGCTGAAGTATTACGCTAAACACGCGATAGTACTACTTATTCCTTATAAGGACTTTCAGTGACCCAGGAGATAGAACAGTTCAGAGGTGAGCACACTATCCATGTGCACGAATCGTATTGAAAGACAACAAATTATAGCTGGTAGCATTTCAGTAGCATCACGTGCCAGTGGCGGTGGCTTTATAGCCAAGCACTGTCACGTGTAATGCCAAGCTTTAGCCTAAATCTCATGGCAGCATCACCGTGCTCAAGTCTTTATGCGACTTTGGCCAGCTCAGGCCACTTGAGGTGTCTAGCAGAATGGTTATGCTGTGGATCTTACTTTGGCATACAGGCGCATTGTATCGGTGGTAATATCACAGATTCTGAATCCCAAATTGAAAAATCTTGGAGCAGCTCCGGCCGAGTCACAACGCTGAAAACACAGAAGATACCACCCCGAACCTGGCCAAGTTTCTTGCCTCAAAACGATGTTCCAAGGCATTGCTCGGGCGGCTGATCCCAATCGAATGTATGGAAGATATCTTCGATGTCCATGGAGGGATAGTCAAAATCGGCAGCAATGTCGAAACTCGGAGTTGAAAGGACTGGCGCTGGGACAGGATTGTTCTCTCCAACGGAAGGTAGTGGAAAACTTACATCCCAGCAAGCCGTGGAAGGCTCGGCCGCACCATCAGGTTGTGTGAATGAGAGAGGGCTGATATAGTCATCAAATGAGAAATTCGGCGCAATATCATGGGAGAGGGTCTGGCCTGCACCAAGTTCCGAACTGCTCTGCCAATCCATGCCGAGAAGTTGTTGTTCAGGCGCTTGTCTGGATGTGACCATCGAGGCCGCGTGATGACGCTGGAGCAGCCTCAGGGCTGTCAAATGGCCCCCTTTTTTCGCAAACTGCACTGAGTTTTTGTATTGCCGTTCGCCTTCATCGTGGACTGCTGCGCCGGCGTCTAGCAGGAGCTGAATCATATCTATTCGGCCATGTTCCGCTGCCCCTTCAAGTGCCGTCCGTCCATTCCGCTGAGCACATGGTGCGTTAATATTTGCACCCTTAGACAGCAAGAGTGAGACAATTGCAGTGTAGCCTCCGATCGAAGCAGCTTGCAACGCTGTCACACCCCCATCTTCGGCGGGCTCATCATTTACCTGCGCACCGTGTTCAATGAGGATCTTCACCATTGACAACCGACCACTCGCCGCAGCTGCTTGCAGAGCAGTCCGTCCCAACTTGCCTGTCGCGGAGGCAGCGACATTGGCTCCAGCTTCCAACAGCATTTGTAGGAGGTTTGCCTTCCCATATTCTATGGTTGCAACTAGAGCAGTCTTCACCGGAATTGTCACTACCACTGGTCCACTCGGATTTGCACCGCAGCTGAGAAGCTTCATAACGAACTGAGACATGTCTTCATCTTCCCAGAGTCGAATGGCGGTTCCAAAGGCCGTCTCCCCTTGCACGAGAGAATGCGGCGAACTATCGTGAAAAGGTTGCTTGTAGCTCTTTTGAGAGACGCTATCGGCGGGAATGCCAGCATCCAGCAAAGTCTCAAGGATAGACATTTTCTTCATCTTAACTGCCATTTGCAGCGCGGTTCCTCCGAAGCCTTTTCTGAATTGACCATACACTAGCTTGTGCTTTTCCAGAAGAGCCTTGACGATCTCGATATCAAGCGATTTTTCAACCGCCACAAGAAGTGCTTGAGGATCAAAGGGGTCGGCTCCCATGCTCAGAAGGCGTCGGAAATGAAATGAATTACCAGCTTTGGCCGCGGCTTCCAGCGCTGTTCGACCGTACAAGCGGGCTGATGGATTATTGATATCGGCGCCACCATCAATAAGACGATGTATGAGCTCATAGTTGTTGCCCTCTATCGCCTGAGTGAGTGGTGTTTCGCATTCATGGTGCTCTCTGAGAACAACGTTGACGTTTGCACCAGCTATCAGAAGCTTGCTGACTGTTTCTGCATCGTTCAGACTTATGGCAGCCTGAAGTGCCGTCAATGTTCCGTGTTCGCTAGCTTCGAGGTCAACGTCACACGCTAGTAGCCGCTCCGAGATATTCGTTAGTTAGGCCTCTTTCAATTGCCATCGTCAAAGCACTCGAACCATGAAAAGGTGGCCACGCGTTGGCGTCCGCGCCCGCATCCAAGAGCATGCAGACAATATCTTCATATCTGTTATCGATTGCCGCAGAAAGGGCAGTTTGATCGTCGTAATCGTCGTCCGCATTAAGGGATGCTTGCGCATTCACATCTGCGCCACGATCTAGTAGGATAGGCACAAGCTCTAAGTCTCCATACACACATGCCGCTTGTAGAGGCGTATAGAGCCGGAAGCCACGACCCGTTATGACGGGCTTGACTTCCACTCCGTGCTCAATCAACATCCTCGCAATGCTGTAGTGACCTTCTCGTATGGCAGCAAGAAGAGGATATTCGAGGTTATCCAAGCTTGAGCTAGGATCCAGTTCTTGATCGAGCAGAAAACGGACCAGGTCTTCATTGCCACCACGCGCGGCATAATAAACACAATGACTTGTAATCCCCGCTCCTCGATCAAGAAGGTATTGGAAGACCTTTTCATGGCCAAGATCCGCTGCCCTTTCCAAAACCGTCTTTGGCTCGGGATCTTCAAAGGGTGAAAGGAACCTGCAGTCAAGCGCAGCTCCAGCTTTAACGAGCTGCTGGACAATATCTGAGATGTTCTCCCTCCTAGAGCACTTGTCCAAGTCCCAAATTCCCCATCGAGCCGGCAATGCCTTGATGAGGCAATTTTCCCCTTCTTGAGTCACGAAATCGACTTCTGCCTTATTTTCAAGCAACAGCCGCACAATTTTCGGATTAAGAGAGGCTGCCGCCTCGAGAAGGGCCGATGTCTGATACTTTTTTTCGTACTCTGATTCGAGAGATACTCCACTCTTTATGAGAAGTTCCACTAGGTCATAATCATCTTTCCTAATAGCGACTATCAAAGGCCAGTCTAGGTCTTGTTGGTCCAGGATCTTGTGATGACCATTTGGATCCGCTCCATGTTCGAGCAGGAGCTCCACTACCTCGAAATTGCCCTTTTTTATTGCGCGGCACAAAGGAGTGGTGATTCCACCATAAAGGCATCGGCACATTTGTGAATTGAGATCGAGTCCAGAGTCCAAGAGCACACGCAGCAGCTGAAGGTTTCGGAGAGAAATGGCTTCTTGAAATAGCTTCTCCCCCAATGCTTCCGTTGATGGACCTGGGACGCATAGGATCTTGCCGATTATGTGTTCAGCCTTTGTTGCTTCAATTAGGCGAACCATGAACTTAGTGACATTCGCTTCATCGGACCCGAAGGAGTTAGAGGCGAGAAAGGTGAGTAGCATCAAAATCTCAGAAGCGGCCTTAGCAGAACGCGAATCCCTGACCTGACATGATCGAGTATCTGCCAAAATGAGTTCTGTGTAATCAGAATTTATCAGGACCGGGCCATCTGCAAGCCAGGTGTTGCCTTCCAAAACTTGCGAGACTCCTGGAAGGATCTTGACACGAATTTCCTCCCAAAATGCATCAGGAACTTGAAGGCTAACGCTTGCATCGCCACCGACATTGGGTGGCACGGATTGATCAGGATCGCCCTAGTCTGTGCCCTATTTGGGCTCCGAGTGATCACCTTGTTCTCCCGTCTTCCTCTTTTGATTGTGGAGTTGCGCTTGCGTCTGATATTCTCTAGGTTCCGTTGGGCCCAAATGCAACTTGAAGATTTTCTCTCATCAAGCGCGAGTCGTCCCCCACTGCGTACACGCACCGAATTTAATGACAAGCTGGAAAGACTGCGCCAGCGCACTGGTGTCTCAGATCTCGACCAAGAGTATGCGCGAATCTACAGTGAGAACACCATTGCTAGGTATGAAAGTCGAAATCATGCTGCCAGAGCCTACAAGTTCTTGCTCTGCTCTTTCAAGCCAATGACCTTGAACCAACTGGTATCAGCTGTCGCCCTGCAAGAAGATGGGAATTTACACCCTAATGTATTCGGCCCCTACATTCTTGATATCTGCAGCAACTTTATCACTGTGACTCGCGACGAGGTTCAGTTTGCCCATGCATCCGCAAGGGAGTATCTTGAATCTCGTACAGTGGGTGAATATGAGGAATTCGGTCGTAACGCACAGCATTGTGAGGCGGCATTGACTTCTCTGTATGCTGTAAGACATTACTGTGGTCAGCTATTGAATCATGCTATCGAAACTAAAGCTTGGAATTACGAGAAGCTCTATGATCTATTGCCAGTTGAGCTTCACTTCGCATTCTATGCGGCTATGTTTTGGGCAACTCATGCTTCTGAGCTTTCCGTGGCAGCTCGAAAAGCCAAATGCATATCATCTGAGATTGTTCAGTTCCTCACCTCTGCGGCTTTAGGGGACTGGCGTGACTGGATATGGAGAACTAAGGGAACCGGAGATTCAAGAAATCTTGCAAGCATCAGTTGTAATGAGAAATTTTCCGTTCCAAACCCAATTCCCCTAATCTCAAGTTTCGGATTTGTCGAGTGTCTTGAAATGCCTGAGATCGCCTGCAGAATCCCTGATCAAGGCATAAACAGTAATGGCCTAACACCACTGCATTTGGCTTGTATATATGGGCAGAGCGCGGTTATCGAGAAGCTTCTGCGCTGCTTCAGAGAACACGTCGATATCAATATGGACGTCATTTATGGTGCCACGCCGCTATGTGCAGCAATAAAATCCGGTACGAACAGTATAGAAGTTGTGTCACTGCTCCTCAAGCATGGTGTAATTACGACAAATTCGTCTGAGAAGGGAATCCAAGCGTTGCGGGTGGCTGTTATCCGTGGAAGCATCGAAATTGTCCAAATGTTGTTGGAACACATGAAGAAAGAGTTTACTCATCAAGAAGTGCTCTCCTATCTGGTACAACAAAATGGGGGGGTTCTCTGGTTAGCGGTGCAAGATGAGGGTCGCTATGCTGCGTTCGAGTTTCTTCTAGCCGAAGTCAGGGAACTCGGGTTGGACATTGCCAACTCTGCCTTCAAAGATAGACAGGGTTATCAATTAGGTGGCCGTCTGCTCCGTGAGGCATCAATCTGGAGCAACCTCAAAGGGCTTCAACTCCTTGCGAAACTAAAAGTGCCTATTCGAGAAACAGGTTTTGGGTTAACGGCATTGCGCTGTGCTCTAACTACTGAAACTGCAGAACATCTTCTTCGCCTTGACTCCTCCTTGCTGTGGGCAAGGGGTGTTGATGGGGCAACTGCTTTGCATGAAGTCCACCATAGGTGCGTTGCAGAAGTACTTCTTCGCCATCGACCAGCCTTACTGTGGGAAAGAGATAATCAAGGAAGAACTGCTTTACACCGTGCTCGAGATGCTCGCATTGCAGAGTATCTTCTTGGCCAAGATCCTTCCTTAGTATCGGCTCGAGACGCGCAGAAGAAGACACCATTGCTGACAGCGTCTGAGTACTTTTACAGCTCTTGTGAACTTTATCCCTTATGGCGAATGCTGTTAAGGTCTGGTGGTGACATCAATGACTGCGATGAGACTGGTCGGAATATATGGCATCTCTTAGTTCAAGGTAAAGACTTACGCGAGAACCGTTATGACGACGTTTTAAACTTCCCGATCGAAAAGGGGCTGGTAGGGACCAGGGACCATGGAGGAAACACAGCTCTGCATATTCTGGGGACTCTCGAAGTGACTATACCAGAGCCTTGGCTGGATTCTTTGTTTCGATTAATGGGAGCAGGTGAAAGACTCCTAGCTACAAATAAAGCAGGCAAGACAGCGGCGGAAAACACACTTATGTCTTTGCTGCAACGACACGCAGGGTGGGACACGGGCACCGGTCGTCCATTTTATGTTGGAAGTCGATCGCGCCGTGTGCTCTCCAGGGTCATTGTTCACTTCATGGAGGAGTTGAGGCAGGAAGAGGACAGTAGGATTCTTAGCGAGGAGCAGCTTGATAAGTCACGTTTCTTGTGCCATCGACTCATAGAGGCGTCCATACACAATGTTAAGAAGGCAGAAGAAAGGATAAGACAAGATAGATTGGAAGGCGATGAGATTATTTTAGGGTATCTTCAAAAGCAGAGAGAGTGTGGTTGGCAGCTGCCGATGTATAAGGCTAACTGGTTCAAAGAGGTTGACAAAGATGGTGTATGCGCGCTTGGCATGAGGGCCAGGAGGACTCTGGTACATTCTGCGTGATTCTACCCATCTCCTTGGTTCTGGTCTACTACTACTTACTTATATCCTTCTGTTATGACCGCCAAGCATGATGCACGTTATGAGGGCCAGGAGGACTCCAGAGTCAGGAGGGCTCTGGTAAATTTTGCGTTAGTCTACGCAGCTTCTTCGTTGTTTGCGCATCTTCTATGCCGTTTTGCGAACAAAGGACTTAAGAGGCTCTTTTACTACTTATGGCCTTCTTGTACATAGGATTCTACTTCTTCGCGCTCAAAATGTCAATCCTCTGACTCCCTACTGTTCTATTGCCCTTGCACTCCCTTGAGATCTTAACACCTTCTTGTACATAGATGCCAGTTCTTCGCGCTTAATAAGTCAATCCTTGACCCCCTACTGTTCTATTGCTTTTGCACTCCCCTGGGTACCTAATAGATGGAGAGGGCGAAGTAGGCAAACAGAGTGAGTCGGATAAAGTGAACAAAAGCATTAGACAGGTCGAGAACAACAAATATATCAAATGACTGAATCTGTTAGACGGCCACGGCCTAACAGAAAAAGGTGAGAAAAAGACGCAGAAAAGGCGTAGAAAAGACGCTGAATTTGTGTGATGGAAGTGTGTTGATTCTATCTATCTCCTGCAGATGCTCATATGGCCTCTATTTAGCGTATAACGGGCGTAAGGCAGGCGTTTGGCAGGCGTATAGCAGGCGCATAGCAGGCGTATAGCAGGCGCATAGCACGCGCATGACAGAATCCAGAAACCGACATAGTGAAAGAGGACAAAATACACTCGAGGCATCAATTCAACAACCCAATGATGCTCAATTTCCCAATCTTGGAATCAAGTCAGCGTTTGCATTCGAGGTTTAGAGCTCGGGCCGGGACGTGACAAAGATGGGTGATGCTATCTCCGCTACGTGACATTTCACAAGGAGGGACTCTAGGATTGGGAAGAAAGTCAAAATGTGTGGGCCTAAGGTGATAAAATTACTGTGCAGGGTGCGTAGAAATTGTCTCACTAAGTGGTTCTATATGTTGATCTCGCTGTACCATACAGCCGATTTGTACGTACATCTACACACATTTCTCCTTAATGGATATTCTACTACTTTCTACACACTCTAGGAGGCAATTTACAACACCCCAAACCTCGTAACAGAGACTAGATCCGTGTTCAGAATGTTTTGACAGAAAGGCTGTCTCATTAGCGGCTAGATCATGTAATATTCCCCATATCTTTGCCCCCTATTGCTGGCCTCTGCCACAGAAAAACCACAATGCGTCCAACATAACCAGCCCCTAAAAAAATCTCGCCTGGTTATGCAACTTTCCATGTATGATCCTAGCATAAGCAAAGAAGTGCATCATATATGACGGAGGCCATCGTGACAGCGAAGGAGGACTCCATAGTTCATGTTGGGATTCTGCAGAGACAATCAAAGGTTGACGGCTGGGAATACAGGGAGGTCTTCATGGGGCAGGCATCGAACGTCTACAGAAAAGTAACTTCAGGGATGAATGAAGGGGATGGGAAATGAGGCCAGAGGAGAAGGCCATGGTACGAAAACATGGGTTGAGGTCTGAGGCCTGTCAGCGGGTGATGCCTGTTGGTTGGTGAGGTCTTTTGGTTAGTGAGGCCTGTTGAATTTGTGAGGTCTTTCGTTGCATACGAGAATGAAGGGTCAGGAAGTCTGAGAAGCAGTGAGTTTTTGCAACCCTTTTGGGAGACCTTTTCTTGATATGGAGAGCCATGAAATGATATAAATGATCGGGGCCTCTGTGAATCAGCTAGACCAAGGAACTGATCGTGGAGTTGGTAGTCGAATTGCATGTTTCCCAATCGTGGATTGGTTAACAAACAATAGATACTTAAAAGCTTGCTGCTTCCCGAGATATACTTAATTTGTACGTGGACGTGGCTTTCGACAGCTCATTCTATCATCTTCTAGAACATCAGTCATCAACTCTTCAACCCAAAACGAATAACGAACTAGTACCACGACCTGCCCTCAGATCACAATAGCTGGCAGATGAGATAGTTCTGCCTACGACAAAGGTATACAAGCATTGGTAGCAATGTCTGCTTCCAGCGAGTTCAACTACACTGTAGGTCTTCATCCAATCAAATACCTACCTTTGGCTGAATATCCCCTGGGAGCTGCCGGGTCCCTCAGACGACTGCATCCCATACCCACCTGGGATTGGAGAGATCTCAAAGCCTGTTTTCGAACCAGGCTTTCCCATTTCCACCGTTCAGTGATTTCTCTCCTGCAACATTTGGGATTACTTGAAAGCTACAGTATGCCGTTACAGCAGCATTGTTGACTTGGTTCTTGGAGGATGAGGCGTGGCATGAAACGATTAACAAAGAGAGTAAGAGGGGACGCCTGTGTTTAATGAGGAAGATGGCATTATGGAGACATGAGAAATCTTGGTCTCAGTCGAGTTGATGTTGTCTGGCCATGTGCCAAGACCGCACCCCTGAGGTATGCATCCACAAATATCAGGAATTGCAATTAATCTCTTTTCTCCTTAATCTTAATATTTGTGAGAACCCCGGATGAAGGCGCTGTACATGTTGAAGCGTCCAAGAAAACATTTTCTGAGCTGTTCCAGAGATGGGAAGCTACCAAGGTGTTCAACTGAACCACGTAATAGGAATCAATGCTTCACATCTCTGCCGCCTCAAGCCTGGCCATATAACAGGTCATACTTGCCATTGTCTAACCAACCTGACCACAGGCTGGCCCAATGCAGTTTCCAATAGTCCACAACTTGGATTAGTCCCATACTTGGACGTAGTTCCCTAACACCACCTTAAATATTGTAGCTCATGGGACAATGCTGTGAGGCGGAACACCGAGCACCGCTGTCAGGAATTCGAACCAGTGCTAAACCTTTCGTACATCTGCTGTCACCAGATAATGTTCAGAAATACAAGGTTTTATGTCACCTGATTTGTGGACACTGTCGTTTTCTGTGCTTTGAACGAGGGTACATCTAGGCAATCTTGCAACCAAGGGAACAGAAGTCACCCACCTTCACAAGAGCCACAATTTTATCATCCCTGATCGGCATAACTTCCACCATGGCATCTTCCACATCATCAAGTGCTGGCATCATAGCCGAGCTAGCGAATAATTTGCAAAACATCGATCTACAGGTCAGTACCTATTTCATGGACCAAATTATGTGCAACAAGGCATCTTGCAGACTTTTGGAGGACGCAAGTGTGTACTGTATGCTATACAAAAAAAGCCCTTGAGGCTTGAGTACTCGATCGAAGATCTTAAGGTGCTTTGACAAGGAGATCGGGCTTACTGACTCCGAGATAGCTTCCGGATGACCCTGCGCAAGGCCACTCGGTCCCCTATCCACCTGGTCTTGACGATATTGCCCGTCGCGCTGAATTCGAAGTTGCCTTCATCGCCTTCACTCGACTTGTCGATCTTCACCTCAAGTTCGGTGATTCGCTCAAAAACATCACTATTCCAAGCGACAGCGAGGTTTTTCGGAAGGCTACCAAGACACAAATCGCAAGAGCAAAGGTTCAAGCAGTCAGCAAGCTCGGTTTTAGAATCTGGAAAGAGCAATACGGATACACTGCCACTCGAGATGACGGTAAAGCTTTGTGGAGCAATGCGAGTTTCGACAGATGGGCGGAGACGAGGATCAACGAAATGAGAGAGACCCTTCTTGCCTACAGCAACAATGAGGAGTGGCGAGCCCAGCTCTAGCAACCTCGACGTGGCAGATAGTAGTATTCATCATGGCTGACTGGGGGGAGTGAGGAGAAAGATGACCCCTCGTGAAAGAGCAGTCTTATTAAGCTCAACGCTATGACAAATATGGGCTAGCGGATACAACAGCCTTTCTCTATGCTGTCGACCGCCCGCCTGACACAAGTGGAGGGTGCACAAACCCCGTTCAGATGCATACACAGCGTACGTCTGATTCTTCTATCCTCACCAGTCAATACCTGTCTTCTCACAGTACTGCGCTTAGGCGCAATGCACTATGATGAAGAGCGGACATCATGCAGGCTTAGATATGCAACTTTCCTCAAGCACATCTCTTCACACTGCTACGTGCAGATAAATTGTTTCAGAGGAGATGACAGCGTTCAACAGATCCTCCTGTCCTTTATGTGCCCGCTTTGTTCTCGATGTCTTTGCTTAGAAGTAACTTTGTAGGCCATCATCTACGCCATTCCCACACCCTTTACTAGAAAGTCGGGGCTCAACCTCTTTCTCCCTCCCATATTTTTCTTGGGATAAATCTGCTACCTAGGCCTCAGTGTAAGCATTATTGACCATCAAATACCTTCGTATTAGATTTCTTTATGTGCATCTGGAGGCTTTCCGTGTATACCTTTCCAGATGCTCATTTAGGCTAGGCTTCTATTTGGGAGAAAAGGGGCAATTCCAATCACGACGTGGCCATGCTGGACTGCATCACAATGTCAATGATGATGAGTTATGTTGCCGCTACAGAGCATAGAGACTTGCTAAGGAACTTCACAGAAAACAGGCCCTGGTTGTTGCTATGGTGGTCTTGCAGCTAAGCCACTTGTCCGACTTGCTTCTTTGGTAGAACAACAATAAATACGCAACAACCATTGAAACGAGCATCTCCTCGACCAGGAGCCTCACGATCAGCACTCATTGCCTAGAACTTGTCAGAGGCTTCAGCCTCCAGCCGAATCATCAGAGAAACCGTTGAACCCATCATCTCCATACGAGTCTTCGCTGTCATCCTGAACTGGTGTTGGTGGAGCAAGGCGCAATAGAGGCTGCATAGGAACAACGCCCTCGATGACCGGAAGGTTGGCGGCGGGCGGAGGAGCCTGGCCCATTTGGTGCATTAAGATTGCAAGCCGCTTGAGTGTATCTTTGTGAGGAGTCGGTAGGGGTGAACGGGTGTCTGCCTCTGCTTCCCTCAAGTACTGTCTGGCTCTTGATATGTAGTCTGACAACACACGTAGAGAACGCCAGCTGCACGCCGTGCCGTTTCTCATAGAGAGAAGTCCGTTTGCTGTCCACAATTTCAAGGCTTGTGTGACATAGGCTTTAGGCTCTCCCAAAAGATGGTCATAGAATGACTCCAGGATGCGGAGATCTATTAAAATTCTATTAGCCCTATGCTCTTGGTATCTCTGGCAAGAGACTTGGATGGTACGATCACGAGAGAGTACTCACAAATTTCCCACTGCAGATATTTGGCCACCTCATCTGGCGAAAGAACCAGCTTTGATGGTCCCAGGATAGCAGTCAAGAAGACGAACTGTAAAAGATTATTAGCTGGAATTTATTCCCTCTTGTACCTTATTGCCTTATTCCGTAATAGATGATGAGCAAGGTTCACGTTTTGAGTTACTGGCATAGAAAGTGCAAAGAGATCCACTGCTTTTGACTTACAACATATTTGACAACCCTATTGTTGGCCATCTTGATTGGTGAGCAGGTTGGGTTTGGATGTGAAGCAAAAATAGGTCACCGTAAACAGATGATGCAGACGAGAAATGTCTTTGGTAGACAGAATGCTGTTTTGGAAATGTTAAGTGGTGTGGGTTTTGTTGCACGGAGGAAAGGCAAAATAAGTGTAAGAAGCGGACAAGCCTGGAGCCAGGGCAGGGTTCAGCATCACACAGAAAGTTGGAAAACAAACACTTACACTTTGCTCACAATGGCACTTCAACACTGTTCAAGACTGCTTCAATGATATCGTCTGCCGTTAGCCCCTCCATGGCCTCTCGTACAGCTTCTAAGTCACTCCCGTACTGCATACTCCTCTCCTTTTCCGGGGCACAGAGTAGCAGCCTATGCGGATAGATCTTCCTTGCTGCCAGTGCAACCAAGGAAGGCGTTGCATACTCCAACCCATGAAGAGTTCCCAAACACCTGCTGAAAATCAGTCATCTTATAACACCCAAAGGCCTTGACCAACTTTGTCAACAATTCAAACTGAGACGTAGCAGATGGTGAGACGCCGCCAGCTACACCACGTTCCAACCGAAGGAAGACGACGACGTCCTGCAAGTACCGCCTGACCTCAGCAGAGACCATAGTAGACTGGCTTAGCTGCCGCATTTTTTCAATCTCCTGCTTCTCCATCAGCATTAATTGTCAGCAACATCGAGATACCAACCGCTCCTTCAAACCGCCTAATACCTCCTTGACCTGCACCCTGCCGAGGAAGCGTCTTCCGTAGCACAGAAGAGGAAGAAGAGTGGTCATCAGAAAGAGCTTCGGCATCGATATCTTCTAGATTGGGAAATCCATCCTCAGGATGATGATAATGGGAGATGAAGATTCGATCAATCTGCAATGGTAAGCCGGATACTGGTGCAATGTTTCCGAATCGTACCAGGTGCTTGTTCAGTCTCATGCCTTCAGAAGACCTTGAGACCAGTGGCAGGAACAGAAAGTCTTCAGGAGCAGTGTTAGTCGTTGTCCGGCTGAAGCTGTGCTTCTGGCGAATGAGCTTGAGAATTTGTCAGAACAAGTGGAGAGCACCTGAAGAATATAACCACCTCAAGGGCTTGAATCTGAATGGCTTCGGAGGCAAAGTTGAAGTCCTTTGCAATGACGACATTTACCAGGTGTCGTGTGTCCAGATTAGCATCGCTGGAATTCGCCAGCGATTCGGCCTGCGTAGCGACATTGTCGAATCGATGCTGAGGATATGAACGCTTCAAAATATCAGAACAGCGGAGAGGCGCACAGACAGGGAATCTCTCAAGGACCAAGAAGAAGCATTGGAGCATCTTACCACGTTGCCCGCTATTTTTGCAGACTCATCAAGGCTGCCCAGACGACTGGACCGTTGATCGAGAATAGCATTGCCGAAGGCCTCGTTCGACTCATAATCATCGAGAGAGAGCACAGTGTACGATAGGTTGAAGACATCAACTGCAATCTGATTGAAAGCATTAGCTCGAGGACTTCCCTTTCGAGGTAGCCATGTCCCACCAGGGCAAGTTCCTGGGCGACATCATCAACTAAGTCTTCTTCGGCCTCAATGAGGCAGTGTTGCTTTGCGATTAGGCACAGCAGGGTTGCGAGTTCGAGATCCGAGAGATTCTGGACCTTGCCAACAATAGCCTCCAGGTCCATGCTGGCGACACTATTACCATCAAGCATTTGCGTGGAACCCTTCCTCTAAAGCGCCACGGAAAACAGAATGGGCCGATTGCTCCATTTTGACGCCAAAGGCGAGGCAATACGGGTGCTGATGATATTTTTGCGATGCTTATGGGATGACTGCATCCCCGTGACAAAGTTGGTGCAGTATTGATTGGAGGAGGTGAAGCTCGTGCACGGACCACGTGACGGATGGGCCAAACCACTTCCAGAAATACATACAGTCGTTGCCTGTGAAGCATTCAGCATTGTTGCCCTGTTCACCTATTCATTTTCCACTTACCGTTCACGATGAGAGAGCTCCGATGAACTCTTCAAATCCAAGAGCTGGATGGGAGAAGGTTGGGGACCAGTTCTATCGCAAGATACAGCTGTACGAGTCAGTCTTCGACCCTGATCTGGAGCTTGGAGACTATTTGGTGGCCGGAGCACCTCATGGTGGTGCCGTAGGCACGTCGCCTCGTTTTCTTCTTGCACCTTACTAACTTCTAACAGCTCTATTCCGCGACGAGGGGAAGATAACCAGATATCGTGGTGCGTCAGTCGCAAGGTCCAGTATAGACCTTTACTCTTCTGCTGGCAAGCTCATCAGTCGACTTAACTGGGACAAAGGCTCTATTAGAGGTCTTGGCTGGTCAGAAGATGAGCAACTCATCGTTGTCACCGAGGATGGGAGTGTTAGATGCTACTATGGCCTTCATGGAGACTTCCATCCCTTCTCGCTGGGTCATGGCGCTGAAGCATCTGGGGTGGTTGAATGTCGATTCTGGTCTTCCGGTTTTGTTGCCCTCCTCTCCAACAACAGTCTGGTATCAGTGTCATCCTACGACGAGCCCAGGCCGAAGGTGCTAGCTATGCCGCCTGCTGGAGAGCTTCACGCCTGGTCGTTAATTCCCCCAGCCTACACTCTCTCTCGCACCGTAGAGGCCTTGCTCGCCATGGATCGAACGATCTATGTAGTCGACGCCACCGAATGTGAAGATCGTGGACTCTCTGATGGTCCGTTCAAGCATGTCCGGGTCTCTCCGAATGGACGCTTCGCAGCACTATTCACAGAAGATGGCAAAGTATGGGTAGTGAGCAGCGACTTTCAAGACAAACTCAGCGACTACGATTCAAAAGCCAAGACACTTCCGAAACATGTCGAATGGTGTGGCAATGATTCAGTCATCCTAGCATGGGAAGATGAGATCCATATGGTTGGTCCAAAAGGAGTGGCTGTCAAGTATTACTATGATGGTCAAGTTCATGTCGTGCCTGACCTTGATGGCGTTCGAATACTTACGAATGAAGTGTGCGAATTTCTACACAAAGTGCCTGATGAGACAGAAGAGGTTTTCAAGCTTGGCTCGACATCTCCTGCATCGGTCCTGCTGGATTCGATTGAGCAACTAGAGAAGAAGTCGCCCAAAGCGGACGAGAACATTCAAAGAATTAAGCCTTACCTACCAGAAGCTGTCGATACTTGCATTCGAGCTGCAGGACATGAGTTCAATGCCCACCTCCAAAAAGAGCTACTCAAGGCCGCCTCTTTTGGCAAATCGGTACTTGATTTGTACAGCAGCGATGAGTTTGTGGAAATGTGTGAGAGACTGCGAGTCCTAAATGCTGTCCGCGATTACCGCATAGGCCTTCCAATGTCTTATGAGCAGTACTCACGGCTCAGTCCTGAGAGATTGATCTCGCGCCTTCTCAATCGCCATGAATATCTCCTTGCTATTAAAATATCAGAATATCTGCATCTTCCAGCGAACAAGATTTATGTGCACTGGGCCTGTCAAAAAGTCAAGATCGCTTCTTCCGACGATGACGCCATTTCTAATCTCATCGTGTCGAGACTGAAGGGCAAGACCGGAATCTCATTCTCATCCATATCACAGGCAGCATACGATGAGGGACGAGGACACCTAGCCACCTCGCTCCTCAACTCAGAACCTCGAGCGGGGAAGCAGGTTCCTCTCTTATTGAACATGGAAGAAGATGAGATCGCTCTCGACAAGGCCATCGAATCAGGAGACACCGACCTCGTGTTCTTCGTGTTGCTACAACTCAAAAAGAAGCTACCCCTGGCCAGCTTCTTCCGCACCATCAACAACAGACCCATGGCATCCGCTCTCGTAGAGTCTTCAGCTAGAGCACAAGATACCGAGTTGCTGAAAGATATGTACTATCAAGACGATCGACCCGTGGATGGCGCAGATCTGCTCTTCGAGGAGGCAATGCGACAAACTCATACGAGGACCAAGATGGACAAGCTTAAGCTCGCTTCGCGACTTCTGACAGATTCAAGGGATGCCAATGCGCAGCTTCACACGAAGATATTTAATGAGACCGCTCAACTGCTGAAGATGCAGGAAGCTTTCGACAAAGAGATTGCAAATACCAATGGGAGTTTTGTTGGGCTCAGTGTAAATGAGACGATGTATCGCCTGATCAGGTCAGGGTACGGCAAGCGGGCAGCCAAGGTGCAGAGTGAATTCAAGGTTACGGAGAAGACATTTTGGTGGATCAGGTTAAGAGCCCTGGTCGCTGCTCGGCTTTGGGGAGAGCTCGAGGAGGTGGCCAAGAATAGAAAGTCACCAATAGGTTGGGAGGTAGATTTTGTCTCCTTCATGAGTTCAACCTCGTCATGTACCAAATTTATGCTAACCTTGACCGCGCACAGCCCTTCTATAACGAGACTCTTGGAGCCGGCAATACGCGGCTCGCGTCGATCTTCATCCCCAAATGCACAAACCTCACGGTGCCCGAACGTGTTGAGATGTGGGTTAAATGCGGCATGATCGTGAAAGCGGGTGAAGAGGCATTGAAAGCCAAGGATTTGACCACGCTGCATGACCTGAGCTCCAAGGCCACTGGTCAGCAGGCGGTGGAGATCGAGAGGATGATCACGCAGCTCAAGCCACGACGGTGAGCAGGGGATCTGCATATAGATCTGTCATGTAGACCACTGAAATGTGCTGTCGAGTGAGCACGCAAATTGTCCGAGAATGGTCCGTGCTGCCCTATTCCCTGTCAAGTGATCTTGTCCTCTTCATTTTCCAGCTCATCTACCTCAGGCTCTGGAGGCACAACATTTGACTTGATACTGAATATCTCGGCCTCCTTCTCTTCTCCCAGTATCTCGACAGTTCCGTTCTCATCCACCCATTCAGCCTCGTCCTCAATATCCATCCCATCCTTTACCTCCCCCTTATTCTCTTCCTCATCCTTCGCATTTCCCATCGCATTCTTCTTCACTCCATCCACATCCCCATTGACCTCATCCCACGCCCTCCTCCTCTCCCTTCCCACCTTCACTCTCCTCACCACCCTCTCAACCTTAACTTCCATTTTTCCCAGCACATCCTCCGCCCTTGCTAGCCCCTTCTCTTGCCTCAATCTCTGATGTCTCGTCTGCCTTTTCTGGCCCCGCTTCTTTGTGATTCCTCCATTAAGCACCGCATTGGCGTTATTATTCCTTTTCTCGAGGTGAGGAGGGGGATGTGTGAGATTGGGCGTAGGGTCTGAGGAGCTGAGGGCTGGAGCGGAAGTGGAGAGCGATGTGGCGAGGCGACGCGAGGCGCGGGACCGGGGATTTGCTGCTGCGAAGTTATGTTAGAGAAATGTATAGTAAATTAGGAGATTCGTAGAGGACGGGGGCAGCAGGAGGTTGTGACGTACAGGAAGGGTTGGCTTTGAGTTTGGGCGTTTTGGCCATGAAGATCAGCCTGAAGAGAATATATAGAATCGGCTTCACTACTACACTTAGTGATTCATAGGCCGGGTTCAGGAACGCGGATCGATCTACCAGCACTTCGAATATCACTGATATTCCACCAAGAATTTCAACGCGAAATAAAGCATGTCCAGATTATGTAATACCACTTCGGCAGCCTTGTGGCCAATTCACCTAGCCACAGGTAGAATTGACACTGAAAGTCAAACTACGGTTTCAAGGTCAGGAAGGTCCCCCTGCCTTGGCTTGCATCGTAAAATTATATTACCATTCTTGATATGGTTGGATACCCTACACGAGTTTTATCTATCGAAATGAAGAGCCATGCATCTATTTAATAGCTTAGGACTGGTCTTCATCATCAGAAACGCCATACCAGCCTCGCTGCCCTGTGGAGCTCATGTTCCTCTCGACCTGGTAGGTCTTCTTCACGGCACGATCTCAGATGATACGAATGACTCGGATCTCCTGTGGCCAGATGTGTTTGAATGAACAATTGTACAATCTATCCTCTCGCTCTCTCAGAAAGACCATCTCCTTCAAAATCCTCATCTTCCTCTGATTCATCAAGATTCTCATCGTCGAGATCTTCATCACGTAACTCAGTTTCCGGAAATTCTTCAAGCTCTTCAACTACACCAGAGGCCTGTCGAGCGCGAGCGACAAGCTCAGCAGCACGTTTCATGCTATTCTTGGCTCCAAGATCGCTGGTATGCGCTTTCAATATGGTGTCCAGAGCCTGCTTCTCAATGACAATTCTTCCTGTCTCCAGCAAATCTTTGACATCCACATCGAACATGTCCTTCACGATGCCGTGTCTCTTCATCTCAACCAAGGCCATCTCACGAAACAGTCTCTCTCTGTACGCACTTGTGACAAGTGTGCTCCTGCCAAAACCACTTCCCCATTGGTTGCCTTCAAATATGTTGGTTAAAAGGCGAGCTCCGGTATGTCGTTCAATCGTAATCTTGTTGTCCACGACCACCAGCTCGCCTCTACGATATCTGTAACTCAGAGCTGTTCTCCAAGCTAGATCGTAAACCTTCCTCTGTAGTCCTGTAGAGAAATCCCTAGGATGTGGCCCAAAGGCCACCCCTCCTCCTCTCCGTATAGGACTTTTTTTGTCACCGGCCCGCGCACGTCCGGTGCCTTTTTGAGGTAATACTTTCCGACCACTTCCGTGCACATCTTTGCGCCATTTAGTGCTTGCAGTGCCTTGTCGAGTTTTATCACCCTCGTACACAACAGCTCGATGAAGAATGTCGCGCCGTAGAGGGATGTGTAGATGGTTTGATGGGTACATTTCGAAACGTAATGGTTCCAGAGTGGGCCATGAGTAGATTGTGGTGATGACTTGTGATTCAGACGATTGGCTGTTCGGGGTGGGCGTTATCGTGCTTTGCGGAGATGGTGTCGTGTCTATGAGGAACGAATCAGACGACATGGACAAACCTGTTTGGTCTGACAGCTCGGAGCTCATGGTAGGGAGAGGCGCTTCGGTGGCCATCGAGCGAGCAAAGTGAGGTGCGAGACATTGCTATACTCGTCAACGAAATGCTTACGCCCAGGTTCCGCTGTACTTACGACGAGGGGATCAGAGCGATGGAATTTTCTGAAGCTGCTCGTGAGCTTTCTCAGCGCCAGAACTGACTCACGACCGGCCATGATGCTCAGATAAGGTGTACAATGTCAAGACTTTGTCATTATAGATTGATGAGCAATACTTACATCCACAATATGCACTTCAATGAAATCTGAGCTCAGGGCTTAGCACCGGGAGAGGCCGCGAGATGGGACATCAACATGAGGCTCAACTCCACAGACCAATCCTTAGACTGAGCTATCCCTATCTAAACAAGTCTTTATCCTACCAATATGACAACTATGATGCATCTTCAGATGAAAGCGGTTGAAAAGTTACGAGCATGCCAATACAAGAATGTACTACCATTAGGACTGCAGTAATCTATTGATAGGTTCGAGCATCTCTACACGAAACTGGCATTCCTCTTCTGACTCCAGTTTTCATCAACATCATCCATTGTCCTCTTAGCTTCGGTAGTCTCTGAGTAAGCTTGCCATTGCCAGCATCAACTTGTCTGGAGAAACCCCGGCATGAATTGTAACAGTAATTTGATTATCATGTCACGCCCTTCAGACACGTTCTGGTTTCGGGACACCAGGTGGATGGGCGGAAAATTGCGGAGTCACCAAGCTCTACTTGAATCTCCTTGACCCTGGTGCTCATTATGGGATTGTTTCTGCCTCCTGTGATCGTCTACTGTCGATCTGCTGATGTACATCAGCTCGCTTGTGATTTCGTCTACCAAGGAGGCCATCGTCTTCTGCGCCTATAGGTAGGAGGGTTTGCGAAATGGATATGACGAATACTTCACACTTACCCAAGGCCTTTCCCACAACTAATCTGGCCATATCCGAAATGACCAGTGTCGAGAGGCAGCATTTCATGCATGCCTGATGATCTTTTGGCCCCCAATGTCAAGCGAAATTGGTCACGTCCATCTGGTTATGGTAAAATCTTGATCTTCCCCTGATTGGATAGCTACTGCAACTAGTAGCCGCAGCTACAAGCTCTGATTTATATAAAGCAAAGCTTCTTAAAGATCTTACTAGTACTACGTAGCCAACACCTCTCTTTTTGTCCACCTGCCTTCCCTTTAGCCCCTGACGATCGCAGCGTCATTGTTCCTGATCATGGACGCCATAAGGCCACTTCTGACCTATCTACATGGCTCTTTACCTCGTCTATTTGGCGCTGCACTCAAGGATTATGGCATTATCACGAACCAATGCAACCTCAAGCGGGCATGACGATCCAGGCGTGCCAAGTACTTCTGAGATTAAGGGATGCTGCTAAGCCTCCATACTTAGTATAAGCTACCATCAGCTACCACGAGTTTATGTCAGGCTTTGCTGTTGATCAATTGAATTGCTTAAACAGCAACATGGCCAAGCTATCAGGGGCGTGGATATACCACTGTAGTGATTGGAATGCTTAGCCTGGTTTCAATTAGCGAAAGGGACAGACAAACACGACCAGAAAACAATTGTAGGCGTCTTTATGCAAGCTGTCAATCAACTGTTCGCTTATTACTATCCGTATCTCGTACTACGGCAGGAGGCATAATGTTTGTCACCTGCGCACTAGTAAGTAACGTCATTAACAGCGCTCATACAGATACCCCGTTGCTCTGTACGAATGCTCACTGTCGCCATTCTACGCGCGTTTTGTTGATTCTACGCGTTATTCTACTGATTCTATCTCATTCTGCGCCATCTACGAATTCTATCAAGTTCGTTCCAATTCTACGCCAGAGAGATGCCAGGCAGTAAAAGATGCAGAAGGACGGCATACTCGATATTAAGAAAAAACTAGAGTAGTCCTAATTGGGCGATTTTGTGGCATTACATCTTGGCGTTACAACCAGTTACTAGTGCGCGGGTGACAAACATTATGCCTCCTGCCGTAGTAAGTGGCATAGCCTCGACGGTTGCAATGACGTCCGAGGAAGGGGGTACAAGTAGCTATAAAGACGATGAAAGACTCGTTCGAACTCTGAGGTAATGAACAGTCGCTGTTAGAACGATCACACCACCCACACTTTTAAGAGAACCATCAAACCCACGTTCATACTTCAAGTACTCCCAAGATGCATATCTCCACCCTTGTCCTCCTTGGTGCTACCACCATCCAGGCCAGTGTTCTCGTCGAGCGCGCTGTTGAGAATGGTCCTTGCACTGGCGCCGGCGGTGCACCCGGCGTATGCATCCCCACTGCCAAATGTACTGTTGATGGCGGAAACTACATCAGCAACGCTTGTCCGGGCCTCCCCAACGATATTAAGTGCTGTACGAAAGCCTCCTGCGGCTCAGGCGGTAACTGCCGCTTCTCGTCGACTTGCAGTGGAACGAGCTTGAGTGGGCTATGTCCCGGCCCGGCCGACTTCAAGTGTTGTGTGCCCAGCTCTGGTGGCACTAGCGGTCCTTACCCACCCCCTGCCATCCCCTCGGTGGGTGCTTGCAAGGCAGCGTCCGTTTCGGGTGCCCAGAAGGTTGTTGCTGGCAACCCAGGCAAGGTTCGACAGATCTATTGCACAAGGGATTGCTCGTGCCCTGGATCGAGTGACCACTGCTGTGGGCTGGCTATTGATTTCATGTGTTCATCGGCTGGTGGTGTAAGTGCTTTATGCTAAAGACACTTTCAGCTCTAACTAACACTGACTATAGGTCCGGACCGATATTGGAGGACCTATCGCCGAATGGGTCATGAATAACCGTGCTTCTCTGGGACTCAAGTACGTTATCTGGGGACAAAAGATCTGGAATCCTTCGCAAGACTCGGTCAAGCCATGGTCGCAATGGCGCGGCATGGACGATAGGGGCTCCATCACTGCAAACCACTGGGACCATGTCCATGTGAGCTTCAACGGTTAGATGAACACTATAAGCAAGAGGGGAGAGTGATTGGGCCCATGTCAGCGTTATCTTCTCATATATCGTATAAACCGTTTTGCTGTGGGCACCCTCTTTTTTGGGACTGGAGGACACTCTTGTTTAAGGTTCGCTCTCATGACACCCTTACCGGTGGTGTTTGCTTGCTGATCTGGGATTTTCATTTGAGGCCGACCCTATAATGGCTCAGCGGTAGGAAGTTAGTTGTGGGCGATGATGGTAGTAACCACTTGAAGTCCTTGCTGCACCATACGTAGTAGATGCGGTGTCTAATTTTATGGCAGCAGGCTTGGCATGAGTTTTGTCCAGGATAACTCACTACTACGTATTAGTACTAACTAGCTTAGTACTTCGTCAGTCCGTCTTGGGTAAACTCTTAACTTTCTAGGCGAGGTCTTTCATCTCGACTTCCCAGACCACGAAAAAACACCAATCATGGCTCGCTGCGGCACTCCCAGCAAGCAGCTTCTGCAGAGCCTGCGCAGCTGGTCGATAAGCCCTGCAGCTAACAGCCGTCATGAAATAGCTCGCCCTTTCTGCACAACTACCTGCAAAAGCGAAGAAGCTCAGGCCGATGTTGCTCCCAAACCATCCTTCCGTCGCAACCCCGATCCTCAACTTGTCTCATCACGCCGCTTGGAAAGGAGACTCATGAAGGCAAACAACCCACCAATTGGCTCGCGACGACGTCGAGTCGCGCTGCAAGGAACATCTGGAATCCCATTCGAGCAATTGCCATACCAATGCTTCCAAGAAGCTCGAAAGATCCTCATAGCCGATCGAGAAGAGAAGCTGAAGCAGATAGAGACGGATCGAGCCCGCATAATTCGTCTACGAGACTCCGATCCTGCGCTCTCGGGGGGCGAAGCCCGCAAGAGGCAGAGGTTAAAGGACTTGATAGGCAAACTGGAACATTTGAAGATTCTGGCCGATATCAATGATCCGTTGGTCAAGCGCAGATTTGAAGATGGGCTGGGTAGGCTAAGAACAATGTCCTAACCCAACTATCAATGCTAATAAATACATGTTAGGTGACATGAACAAGCCCATCTATCGTTACCTTGCCGAGCGCAAATGGAGAGAGGCTCGCCGCTTGATCCTCATGCAGCGCATCACCCAGATGAAAGTCATACCAGATGTTCTACCCAGTTTCGAGCCGTCGGTGGACGTCAAGCTGGCATTCGTACCACCAATTACGTTTTCAAAAAGAGGCCTGGAATATGGTGATTTGTCCAAGGGCATCCGATCAGGAGACTTTGTCTACATTCAGCCTGGCGAGTTTGTGGACTCGCAGATGAGCGAGAATCCTTGCTGGCTGAATGTGCAATCCTTCCAGCGCGGCGAGAAGTTGGTATCCGTTGTTGTGGTTGATTCCGATGTCCCTAATCTACAGAAGGATGGCTTTGACTACCGCTGTCATTTTCTTGCAGTTAACGTCCCCATCAACCCTACACAGCGCACGATCAATCTCTCCAATCTTTCCAAGACAGAACAGTTACTGCTTCCGTGGCTACCACCTCACGCCCAAAAAGGTAGTCCTTACCATCGTCTATCAGTCTTCGTGCTACAACAAAAGGACAACATCCCATTAGACCTCAGCGTGGCATCACGACATGTAAAGTCGGAGGGGTTTATCCTTCGAAGTTTCGTGGATAGGCACCTTCTGAAGCCAATAGGTGTGCATCTGTTCAGGACGAAATGGGACGCGGGGATGGCGGATGTCATGCGGCGGGCTGGTGTTGAGGGCGCTGATATGGAGTTGAGGCGTCTCAAGGTGGAACCGCTACCGTATAAGAGGAGGAACCCGCCTTCGTTTAGATAATTTGTGCGTGGGAGCTAGGCTCTGTATGTATAGATGGTCATCCTATCTGACCGACCTCTGAGCGAGCTATGTTAGATCCTCGTAATGACTAGGCTCGTGTAACAAGATAACGCCTTCCGCTATGCACAAAACATTGTAAGCCTACAACCGCTCCACCTTCTCCAAGTCTGCCTCCTCTTTCCCCGCCGCATCCCGCAGTTCCTGGAATTCCCTCCTAGTAAACGTCCACTCCCCAAACCCCAACCCCTCCACGCCCCCTCCCCTCGCAGGCCTCAATTGATCCTTCCCCGTCTTCACCATATCAATAATCCAATCACTAGTCGGATGCGAATACCTCGTCACCTTGCCCAAGATCAACCCCATGGGCACGGGGCCATAGAACCTCGAATCCCGACTCCACGCCAGATTATCGCCCGCCACCCAGACATGGCCGGGCGGCACTTCAATCATCTCCGGCTCCTCCCTCTCAGCATCTTCTCTGTCGTTA